CATGATAAGTCACACATCGTAGAAATGATAAATTATATACCTAATCCTAATAACTTTATCGACGGGAGTAGGGTGGGAGTTGTTGTTGAATCATACCACGATAACTCTTATGCAAATAACATGATAACTCACACATCGCAGACTTGATAATTTATGTACCCGACCCTGGTAAATGTGGCGACTGTGGCGAGGGGTGGGGGGAGGGAGGGAACCGCAGTAATTTATATGTAAATAGCTTATTAATAGACACATACTAAGCTGATACCTCACATATAAAAGCCATTATAATTTTTGATTTTTTTTTGAAAAATATACACCCGGTAATTTCTATGAAAAAAGCATGATAATGTATACATCACAGATTTGACAACTAATATCTTACGTTTTAAACATCATGGTATCTTTCATCCAAGGGAAAAAAGTTTTTTAAACATTTTCATCGATAATTTATGTGTTAAATTACCATACTTCCTCATGCCTTAACCTTCTCGTACTGTAGTTATCAGCCTTATTATGATATAGTTATCATGTTGCTCATACCATAGTTATCACGCTGGTCATGCCAAAGTTACCAAGCCAAACTTTATTTTGTCCTGATATGGCAGAAATAAGAAAGGTTCAAATAACATTGTTTATCTACAATAGACAACAACAAAATGTGGCTTAGTTGGTTATTAGGCTCAATAGGTATTGCATAGACCTAGGTTCAAATCCTCTTTTAAGCACTTTTATTTTATTTTCATATTATGCGGTGAAAAATCAGAAAAAACCACTAGCCATTTACCACGGTTTTTGAGAGAAGGAAAAAAATCAGTGGAAATTGAGGGTGAGAAGATAGCGATCTGTCGCTAACGACCAGTCATTAGCACCGTCCTTAGCTATTTTTTTTCAGAACTATCACTATTTAGCTAGTTGTTAGTAAAAAAAACATCTCCCTAGACTGAGCACCCAGTGTACGTGGCAGGGACCAACCGATTAATAGCCTCAAATTCCATGAGGTTACAACTTAAAAAAAATCCCTAAAAGAAAACTTTAAAAAAAATAAAAAAC